TAAGAAAATATGCGCACAAAGATCAGACCTTTTCCCAAAAATTCACACATATTCACGGGTATAACCAATCTAGGACGAGCATCAACAACTACAAAATAATCGGGCACAATTCAAATGACACCCAGAAAATGAAACCAGAAAATATACCTATACAGCACGTCAAAAGCAACGTAGACGCGGGCGTGGCCGATGTGGCTGTAATCGTATGCGGTGACGCCACACACGTACATTCCAACCTTCCCTTCGAACTTCGGCTTGAACAACTCCTTTTGCCTGCTCATCGTATTGTACAGCCAGAGCTCCCTCTTTATTTCTCCAGAACCATTACAGAAACCATCGCCATCGCTGGACAAAGTAGTGAGAGGCTGAGATTTGCTGCAGCAATTGATAGCGGGAAAGCTGCGTAAACGGAAATTGATTTTGGGTTTTGAAATGAAGGTTTTGTAGAAGAGTGAGAGTCGCGGATGGAATGGCCTGTAGCACTCGAAAAGAGTCGCCATTAAAATTGAGCACAAGGCTTTTCTCCCTCTGTTAGACTATAGGCAGAGCTGTGTGCAGGTTCTCTTTCGTGGCTAAATTGGGTCCTCGAGGAAGATGGAAGAGAAGTATACGGTTCCTCTCTGTGCAGTAGTTTCCAATTCCATTGGGTTCCCAGAGTTCTGGTAATATTACTAATTATTTCGTCGGAATTTGTAACCGTTAGATCAACTATTCACAATTATTATATGATAATTTAACGGTTACAAATACCGATGGAATAGTCCATAACGAGACTGTAACATTTTCAAATAATATAAATATCATTGCGTAAGAAATTTCTCAGTATAGTCCAATTTTGCTTCTATATTATAATGGCTTTTTTTTTTTTCAAAACGATAAATTTCATTAATGAAACATATAAGCTTCGAAACTACCCAAATAAGAAAAGGGTTTGGTTAAGTTAATTAGTCTCAAATCCCATGTAATTTTTCGACTACTTAATAATTAAACAATCATCCAATTTCAACATATGTACTTACTTTTATAGCCCCGCTCTCCTCCCCATCGGCCACCTGTTGTTAATATGGTCACTAACTGATGTTGTCAGAGATTGACACAAAATATATACTGAGTGGTATGTAGTAGAAAGAATTTTTGATATGTGACTGATTGACGCATCTTAATGTGTTTACGATAGGTAGTTGTGAACTTTCGCATACTTTCACAACTATTGTACTTAAAAATAATCTATATCTATCTATCTATATCTATATCTATACTATTATAAAAGTGCCAATGAATCTGAAAATATTAATTGCCTAAAAAAACCTTATTATGCCATATTTATAATGGCAGTTTTGTGATTTTAATACATGTATTTGATAGATTAACTAATATTATTTTAATACCTAACTAAGGTTCGGGCAGCGTAGCTATCCGCACAAAATCTCTGGCAGATCAAACCAAAGCATGCGCCCTTCAAATTGTGGAGAGTTGTGGTGAATGGATTTCAGAACTGTCCCATTTATTTTATTTTATTTTATTCTTTTTTTATGATGGCATTTTAATAGTTTGGATTTTTGTGCAATGTTAATTCAAATTTTGGTATATTAAATATTTTATTTATTGACATTATTTTAAGATCCGTAAATATTTTTATGATTTTCTCAATAATTTTAAGAGTTTTAACCGTAAGTATATAAGATAATTTTTTTAACAATGTTTATTTAATTTTATAAGTTTATTAGTAACTATAAGTAAAAATATGAAGTCGATATTACTTATTCTCATAACGACCATAAATTATAGATTTTTTTTTTAAAAAAAAAATAAGCTATGAGAAACAAAAATTTGTGTAACACTATGAGAGATACATTGTTGAATAATTGTTTTGCAACTCAAACTTT